CGGGCATGCGTGCGTGCGTGCTTGCATATGGGGTGAAACCGTAACGATCGCTAGTTGATTCGGAAATGTTGGTACTTGTTATTTTCAGAGCTCGGTATAGATGAAGCTTCATAATATGTTCGAATAGTCTTTTGAAGTTGAAATGCCAACACTAGCAATGGAGATCTCTTAGACCATTTGTAGCGTTATAATTATGCTTTGCTCTGAGGAACTATCAAGTTCCGAAACATTGAGATTATTTATTTCGAAGCCACGCTGTGGATCCAGCGACATCAAGCAACTGGATTCATCAGAGACAAGAACAGAAGTGAGCACCCTATGAGACTTCCCCTAAGATTATATCCACAATCGTCATATCGTCGTTGCCCAAGCGATTATAGCATAAGAGCGAATGCCATTTTAGTGGCAATCATGTCACGGAGCAAGTGAGGACATAAGGGAGAAGGCAGATGAAGTGGGAGGATTCCACCAGTCTGCGGGTGTGGACATCAGCCGCTGACTAGCCCATCTAATGGTCTGTGTCCCATTGATGTTATTGTGTCCCCTGGATATAACGCATTTATATTGAGACAGACGCTCAGTACTACTTATCACAGGAGGCATAAGGAACAGCATAGGTGCCCACTTTTGAGATAGAGGGAGGGCTAGTGTGGACCAGGTTGCGACGGAGTGTTCACCTGGCGAAAGATAAACCTGCAGTTGAGAGGGTAAGGAGGGCAACGGAGAGGGTAGATCTCAGTGTAGGACAGGCAGAGTGAGGATTTTCTTTAAGAGAAGAGTCGTGGTAGAAGGATTACCGCGCCCTGTATAACGCGACGTCAGAACATGCATCAGGAAATCAGAGAACAAGGCAGGGTCAGAGAGCAAAAACGTAATCGACATATCTCTGCCAAACCGAAGGACGAAGGGAGAAGCTCAGACACGAAGTACTCAATGAACAGGTTAGCCAGGACAGGAGAGAGAGGAGAGCCTATGGCAACATCGAACGTCTGGGAGTAGAACGACCCTCAATGAAAAGGAATTAGACTCCATATACGGACGGTTTAGATGGAGGAAGACGTTGGTGAGCAGAGGGAGACGAGGATCCTCGGCGGGAGTCTTCCTCTAAAAGAATACGAGGACGTCATCAAGCGGGACTTTGGTGAACAGGGAGTCGACATCCAAGGTCATCGTGGTCGCCGATGAAGCACCACGGACGCGAGAGATGAAGTCCTAAAGGTGTCAAGAAGGGGAGCGAGAGACTTCGCCAAATGGAACCCAAGAGGAATTCCTTACCTTATATGTAGAGTGTGTGTGTTTGGGGGGGGGGGGGGTGCATGTGTGCGCACATGCGGTCCTGCGCCCGCCAGTGTGTGTAGCATATAAATACATT